GCATTCAGAGTAGATCCATGAAGTAGTAGATAGTGAGTGTGAATGCATGTAGGGAGAGAAGACACAGCGAGGGCATAGCTAGGGAGAAGACCAGCAAGGTGGTGAGAAACATAAGAGGGAAGAGCAGAGGGGAAGAGATGCTTACCTGAGAGTTTATGCTGATTATTGGTTACCTATTGGCACGCGCTGATGAGCGCTGGCGACTTGAACTCTTATTGCTCTTGTAATACTTTCTGGAAAAGATAAGCTGCGCTACCTGGTCTTCATCTCTCTGGTCTCCAGTGTGAATTTCATCTGAACTCGTACATGCATGTGGTGTGAATATGTGCACTCATTGGTGTTGAACTAGGAGGTTCATTGCAATCTGGTATCGGATCAGTTACGTGCTGCACCCACTGGTTATCGCTGGCAGTGATTAAGGTTAGCGAGAGGGGAAATGAGAAAGAAAGTTGAGTGGGGAAAAGATTGACGAAGGGGGGAAGAAGAAGGCTGAAGAAGAAGTGGCTTGAATATGTACCTGTTGCTGCTGCGTTGGAACATTGGAGCAGTCGAGGAGCTTCATCAACGGAACGCTCATTAGAGTGAAGTGCATCCTCCCATTAAAACCTGTATTGCATGCTGATTTGTCTTGGTGTTTGGTACCTTCCCAACCCTGGTGTCGCTGCTGCTGGGCTGGTCTAAGTCATCACATAATCAATCTGCATTTAGTCCAGAACCAGTCCGCACATTCAAAAAAAAAAAAAGGTATATATGTATATAGTTGTGGGGAGGTATTCAGCAATCAGCAACAGTCAAACCCACTCGTGAGTTAGTAACTAGTAATTAGTAGTTGGGGATTAGATCTAAGTGGTGAGGGGTTGGAGGCCGCTTACCTGTGCCTCTAATCACCATGGATGACTACCCCATGTTCTCACTTCTGGCCCTGTTTGTGCTATGGGGCCCCCTTCTTCGTTTCATCTTCCCTCTTGGCTTCCAACGGACATTTTGTTCACATGCGGTGTTAAGGTCTGGGAAGTCAACACAGGGAAGTACAGCTGAGGAGCAGGCAGAGAAAGACCGCCGGCTGGCTGAGAAGAAAAAAGAAAAGGAAGAGAGGAAAAGAAAGGAGGAGGAGGAAGTGAAGAAAAAGTTGTCAGAAGAGAAAGAGAAGATGGAGAAGGAGATGAAAGAGAGAGAGAAAGATGATGGAAGAGTTGAAAGAAGAAGAAGAAAAAGAAGGAGAAGAAGAAGAAGAAGAAGAAGATGTGGGAGACAGGCTGGAGAGGAGGGCCCAGCCGCAGGAAGAAAAGGGTGAAAGCAGCCATGCTGGGGAGATCAGGTTGCTGCAATTGGAGGCGATGGATTGGATGGGACAATTCGGGTATCAAACGGAGATGCCGGAAGAGGCCGAGGAGGAGAAAAATGCTTTTATGCTCAAAATGTCAGCGGCAGCGGATCAGGAGGAGAGAGATTTATTGATAGAAGAGAAAAGAGTCGAACTTGACAACAAATTGGTGGCTGCAAAAAGGCAGGAGTATAATGATAAAAAAAAGATGGAGGAGGGGGAGAGGTTGCAGGCACTGTTGAAAGAACAGAAGGGAAAGCAAGTTGCCACAGACGAACGGTTAGCTCTCTTGACTGACACCCTCCTTCACACTAACGAACAATTCGCTGCCCTCCATCGATCCGTCATTAAACTAGAGTTCCGTCAGGGAGAATTCGAGGGAACCTGGAATAACTTTCTGCGCACAGCCTCCCACCAAGTAGATGACTGAATATTTGGATATCTTATAAAAAAAAGATAACTGACCCTGCCGAAGCAAAAAAGTTGAAGATTGGAGGCGGAGGAGGAGATGGAGGTGATGATGGTGACAGAAAAGGAAAGGGTGTCAAGAAGGAGAAAGACGGGGAAGGGGAGTCCAGACAAAATATGAAGGTGAAGTTGCCTTGGACTTATACAGGGAAAAAGGAAGAAAACATCTTCCACTGGGAGGCGGCTATGGGGACACCTATATGCACAAAAGATTCCGTATTGGGACCGGGTGTTAATGACAAGTTCGTGTATGGCAGGGGACGCAATGAGTTTCGCAATCTCTTTGCCTAAAGCTGGTTGCGCAACCATGTTTGAGTTTTCTCAACAGATGCAGATCGAAGACTTCTTTAAAACCCTTAGAGAAAGGTTTGAAGATAAGAACCTGGCCTGTAGGACTGAGTCTCTGATCCTTAACATTAGTGACCGAAAATGGAAGAGTGCGTCAGCTCTCAATGCCACAATGGATGAATTGTTGCAATGCCCGGATCACGGATTAACACCGACACAGATCTTAAATAATTTTGCTAGAGCACTCCCAGACCCTCTAAAAACACAACTGTATCCCCGCACTAAGGAAGAAGGAATGACATACGAGAAGTTTAACAAGATCGTTGTAGATCATGCTGGTTTCCTACAAGAGGCACAATATTGCCATTATTGGAAAGACCTGCAGGCCGACAAGAAATAGAAAGATCGGACGATCTCCGGGAATATAGCAGGTAAAGATAACTTACTGGTCACCTTTGAAGGAGGAGTGGAGTCACTTACCTATGACCAGATAGACTATGGGTTAGAAGAAGGAACCAATGGTCACTTAGCCCAGGGAGGGGACTATGCGGCTGTTGCAGCCCACGGGGGAGGGTGACAAGGAGGAAGAGGTCATGGTAGATGAAGAGGAGGCCGCAGCCGTGGTGGAGGATGAAGACCCGCCGCCTAGAGGGGTAGTGGCGAAGGTAGCTACTATGTGGGAGGTAGGGGTAATGGTCCCTCGCACGGTGGTAGAGGTCCTAACTCCATAGGGGGAAGAGGTAGAGGTAGACGGCCATACCCGGAACACCCAGGGATAGTTGAAGGCAAACCTTGGTTAGAAATGGGTATAGACGAAAAAGTTTGGGAAGAACGTCGTAAGGTCGGTCAATGCTTCAAATGTGGTGACCCCGACCACATTGTTCCCTTCTGTCCTGATTATAGGTACCCAAAAGGGAACGACCAGTAGAGGTTGCAGTTGCCTCTACAGGGACTTCGGATGCAAGCAGACTTTCAACCTCCCATCCAGAGGTCCCACTGGCAGAGACTGAGACAGTAGTTGGCCCCCACCTAGTTAGCTGCCCAGAAGTTGCTTGTGCTAGGACTTCACTAGGTGTTTCCCTCGCAAGCATAGGTGATGAACTGATCACTCGTCGTCGCGCTTGGGACGAAATGAAGAAAAAGAAAGGGCAGTTACTTATTGCAAACGTAGAAGTAAGTAAAGTAAGGGTGAGAGCGTTAATAGATAGTGGGTTAACGCGCAGTTATATTAGCAAGAAAGGGCTGCAGAAGATGCGCCTAGGGCTGAAAGTTCAAAAGTTAGATCAGCTTGTCATAAGCAAGCTAGCAGATAATAGAGAAATGGTGGTTGATAGCTATGTTGAAGGGGTTAGGGCATACTTCCGGTTGGAGGCAGGGGGAAAGGTGGAACGTGTTTTGCACTCCCTGACACTCTTAGTGGAGGACAGTCTCCCTTTTGACATGATTCTAGGAATTGACTAGGGTGAGGCCGCCAATGCAGATGTGAAACTGGGTGAGCATGAGTGTTGTTTTCCTAGTCCTACAAGTGGAAAGAAGAAAATTCGACTTTACCATGCATCTGGCGTAGAGAATAGCCTATCCCTTTGTTGCATGAGTGCCCCCGCGTTTGCCCAACATGTAGTCAAAAACGACCTCGCCGACCAAGTGTTTGTTGCATATGTGTGCCCAGTGAGTGAAGAAAAGAAAGAGGAAGAGCCGATATCCCCCAATGTGCACAAGTTGCTTGTTGAGTTCGTTGATGTTGGAAAGGCCCCAAGTGGAGTGGTTGAGAGAGAAACCAAGCACCGGATTGAGCTAGAACCCGGTAGCCGGATTCCTAAGGGCCTTATCTACAGGATGTCTCCAAAAAAGCTGGATGAGCTGCGAAAGCAATAAGATGAGTTGCTTGAGAAGGGGTGGATGAAACCAAGTTCCTCGCCATTCGGTGCACCAGTCTTGTTTGTACCAAAGAAGGGTGGCGAACTCCGAATGTGGATAAACTATAGGGGACTTAATGCGATAACCGTTAAGAATGCGGAACCGTTACCACGAATAGATGATCTCCTGGATAGAGTTCAGGGTTGCAAGTATTTCTCTAAGATTGATCTGAAGTCAAGATACCATCAGATTGAGGTATTGCCCAAGGACTAAGCACAAAACGGCTTTCCGAACGAGATATGGTCACTATGAGTTTGTGGTGATGTCGTTTGGCTTGACTAATGCCCCTGCAACCTTTCAGAGATGTATGAATGAGTTGTTTCGTGATTGGCTTGATAAATTTGTTGTTGTTTATTTAGATGATATACTGATTTTTAGCAAGAGTCTGGAAGAGCATGAGGAACACCTTTGAATTGTGCTTAATAAATTGTGAGAGGCGAAGTTTAAGATTAACCCAAAGAAGTGTGAGTGGGCAAAGTGTCAGGTCCTTTACTTGGGACATATGGTAGACGGTGATGGGATTAAACCGAAAGACGCTAAGATTGCAGCCATTAGAGATTGGCCCAACCCGCGCACGTTGACGGAACTGCGCTCGTTTCTTGATCTGGCCAACTACTACCGCAAGTTCGTTCGGAACTTTACGGTAATCGCTGGCCCATTGCGCAAATTGCTAAAGAAAGAAACAGTCTGGAAATGGGATCAGGATTGTACCGCGTCCTTAAAGCGTTTAAAGAAGTGTTTGATTAACTACCCGGTGTTGAAAGTTGCAGACCCATCTTTTCCTTTTATCGTAACCACTAACTCAAGTCAATACGGGATTGGTGTTGTACTCCAGCTAGACGATGGAAATGGGTACACACCTGTAGAGTTTGTCTTGTAGATTGCCTAGCGAAAAGGTCGTGCTTCTACCTATGAGAGAGAGTTGTTCGCTCTTAGGGAAGCACTGAATCACTGGCGACATTATCTACTAGGACGCCATTTTAAAGTGTTCTCGGATCATGAGACACTTCACTGGCTTAAAACCCGGGCCCAGATGACACCTAAACTGACCAGGTGGGCTGGGGCGATTGATCAGTTTGACTTTGAATTGAAGCCAGTAAAGGGTAAGTACAATGTTGTTACTGACGCATTGAGTCGAAGGACCGACTTTTTCGGTGCTATTGTCACATACTTAGATGCAAGCATCGAATCGCAGGAAAAGATTAAGTCTGCCTACACAAGTGATCCAGACTATAGCCAATTGATTGGCAAAGTGCGGACGACACCTCACGAAGTCTCGGACTATAGAGTAACACAGGGACTGTTGTTTGAAAAAACAGATGTCCATGACCGACTATGTGTTCCAAACAATGAGGAAATTCGTAGCATAATACTTGGGGAAAACCACAATACTGAGGGGCACTTTGGATGGAGGAAGACTTATGCTAACCTCCTACGCTCCTACACGTGGCCAGGAATGAAACATGATTGTATTTCCTATGTGCAAGGCTGTCAGGTTTGTCAAAGGAACAAAAGTTCCACACAACCTCCCCTTGGATTACTCAGACCCGGGGACTCCGTGTCTATAGACTTTATGGACACTAAGATAAAGAGCAGAAACGGAAAGAGTCAGGTTACGGTTATAGTGGACCGGTTTAGCAAGTTTGCTGTGTTTGTTCCACTTCCTCGAGAACCAAGAACTGAATTGGTGATTAGGGAATTCTTTAACCATTGGGTGAAGGATTTTGGGCATCCCTTGACTATTGTAAGTGATAGGGATTCGCGGTTCACAGGAGAGCAGTGGCAGCAACTAATGAAGGTATACGGGTCCAAACTGACTATGTCTTCAGGTAGACACCCTGAGACAAATGGACAAACTGAGAAGATGAATAAGTTGCTGCAGCAAGTGCTGCGCATGTAGATCCGGCCAGATCAGATTGATTGGGATGAACATCTGCCAAAAGTTGCAAGTGCCTATAACAACTTTGTGCATCTAGCTACATCAAGAACGCCTACTGGACTGCATCTGGGGTGGCGCCCTCGTAGACCCATTGAATGTCTAAACCCTGATCAAGTACAGAGACTTCCGCCAGGAACCAGGGAATTTGTTGTCCAATATCAGAAGACCTGGAAAAAGTTAAGGAGAACATTAGTAAGGCACAACATCAGATGATAGAACAGGCTAATAAGCATCGCAGACCTTCGCAATTTGATGTAGGTGATCTAGTCTGGGTAAAGTCAAAAAGAGTTTTTCCCTAAGGAGAACATTTCTCAGAAATTATTACCTGCTTATAGAGGACCTTCGCAAATTCTTGATGTGATTGGTGATGTTGATGGTCCTTCCTATGTTGTCGAGATTCCTCCACATTTGCACACGTATCCGGTGTTCCACGCTTCAAAGTTATTGCCTTGTGTTAGTAATGACATATTTCCATCAAGCAAATCTATGATTCCCCCTGATATGGATGGTAAGTATGATGTGGATAGAATTGTTGGGGAAGAGAACCTGATAAGCAGTAGCGTGGTTACATTGTTGTACAAGAAAGGGGACAAGGAGGATATCAGAAATTACAGACCAATTTCCCTGCTTACACTTCCTTACAAGATCTTAGCCAAAGCGTTAGCATTTCGAATCCTAGATCTGACTGATAAGTGTTTTCACATAGACCAAACAGGTTTATCCACATAAGATACATACTTGACAACGTACTGACCCTTAATGAAGCAGCCAAGAAAGTTAGAGAGAAAAGGATTAATACAACAATCCTTTTTTTTCATTTCGAAAAGGCCTATGATCATGTCAACTGGGCGTTCCTCAATGCAAACATGGAAAAGATGGGAGTAGGTCCAAATTTTAGGAAGTGGGTTCGCATTTTATACAATGATGCTATAGGCTGTGTCCAAATCAATGGCCTGATATCTGACTGCTATCCAATATCACGATCAGTCCGCCAAGGCGATCCACTCGCACCACCAATCTTCCTCTTTGTAATGGAGGCTATAGCATCTTTGCTGCGCAAGGACCCATCCATCCACAAGCTACTAGAAGTAAATGCAGGCACACCTCACCACCTTCACTTCCCTACAATGATCATGTTCGCTGATGACCTGATTGTCCTCATCCGTGCCTCGGACTCATCTTTTAGTGCACTGGTACGAGCCATGGAGGCCTTCAGATTGGCTTCAGAAATGAAAATCAACTGGAAAAAAACGATTGGATGGTGGTTGTCTGAAGAGGAAGTTCCCCAACATCAGGGCCCGGAGGCGGCTATGACATGGGAGAAGCCAGATACACCTACAAGATACCTAGGCATCCTAATGACGAAAGATGGCTTCGCCCCCCAAATGGCCCAAAATATACTCGCTAGTCAAATCAACAAACTGGGCAGGTGGGGGAACACCTTCACATCCCTGTTAGGTCGGGCACTGACTATCAATACATCAGTTTTCTCAATGATGTGGTATATAACTTCTATCTGGACGGTGCCAGATCACACAATCAAGGAGCTCAACCGCAAAGCAAGAGCATACTTGTGGTCGGGTGACCCAAACAAGGAGAACTGTATACCAAAGATAGCATGGCACTACATCATAAGGAAACCAGCTAGAGGAGGACTTGGCATCATTGACCCCAAATAGGAAACAAAAGCTCTACAAGTTAAATGGATTGTCAAACTCCTTACCAGACCTGGTCTTGCATGGAACAAACTAGCCCTGGACAGTATCAGGAGCCTAGCCCCAACAACCACTCCAATGAACATGTCCGGTCTGTTTTGGGTTCGATGTCCACTTCACCATCCATGGTTGGGGGCAGCATTGACCGTCTGGAAGGAAACTGTGCAGACTCTGCGAATGGTGCCAGCTTTGAGGCATGGAATACAGGGTGTGTACGTAGATGAGGGGGAACGCGAATCACGCAGGAAGGCCCATCCTCTTGATCGCCCATTATGTCTAGGACTTCCCATGGACCGAAGTGCTGTGGCATTAGTTTCCTGGAGGTACCTACTTCCTGTCCCAGTTCAGATGACTTTACCCAGACTCTGTCCCCTACCTGAAAGTTAGAAGGTCGCCTGTGCTTGTTCTCGGATGCAATCATGGCATCCTAAGACTTTCTAATGTTTTCTACAGCCTACTGCAGCATCTGTTCATATTTGATAGCGAACTCTATGTTACCAGGTGCTGCAGTTGCCTGGTTTTCAGGCAGTAGGTAATCAAGGGCGGGTTTGGGTTTCCAACCAAGATGTAGTTGGTTGGGAGTCCTGCCGGTAGTGCTGTGTACTGCGTTGTTGTACAGGCTGGCGACGAGTGATAGCTTTTCGTCCCAGTCGTTCTGACTTGGCTTGATGTAATGCCGAAGCATGTGCTGCACTACTCGGTCCATCTGCTCCGCCTGACCATTTGCTTCAGGGTGGTTCCCTGATGTCATTTGCAGTCTAGTTCCCGTCTGCTGGGCTGTGTTTTGCCACAGTTCACTTGCAAAACTTACATCCCGGTCACTAACGATAAATTTAGATCAACCGAAGTCCCGTACCCAGTTATCCATAAATAGTCTGATGATGTAGTCAGTTTTAGCAGTCTCAGGCATAGCGATAAGTCTAGCATACTTGGAAAAACGGTCTATTATAACAAAGATGTGTCTTTTCCCAGACCTGCTAGTCACAAGGGTATCCATGAAGTCCATGGATACACTTTGACCAGGACCTTCAGGAATCGGCAGAGGCTTAATGAGCCCCGGCGGAGCCTGTGTCCTAGGTTTGTCACGTTGACAGACCTGGCAGGTTTCAACATACCTTTTTGCGTCTTCCATCATAGAAGGCCACTAGAATCTCTGTACTAGGTTTGCTGAAGTTTTCCTATACCCGAAATGTCCAGTTGCATCATGACTCTCTAGTTGGAACACACAGTCTTTTATTCCCTGCCTTATCAAGCAACAGTAATCCATTGACCATCACAAACTCATCGGAGGTAGTTTTATCCTTAGCCTCCATTTTGCGAATGATCTCAAACAAAACTGGATCTTCTTGATGGGCTTCCACCAGTGATCGAGTGAGTTCGTCAGATATGCGAAACTCAGTGACTAGCGTGCCTAGAGAATCTGCCCGACGAGATAGTGCATCAGCCACTTCGTTGTGCTCTCCCTTGATGGGATCAAGTTGATAGTCATACATATCTATCACTTGTATCCATCGCTTGAGTGCATCAGAGAGCCCAGGCTGTGTCTTGATCCAGCGCAAGGTCTCATGGTCAGATCTCACATAGAAGAATCTGCCTAGGAGATAGTGCCTCCAGTGGACCAGCGCTCTATGTAGGGCATAAAGCTCGCGCTCATACGTGGACTTCGCTAGCTTTTGAGATGGCCAGATCGTGGATGCCTGTACCTCGACCACCGGGCATAGGCCCCCCTCCTAAACCGAGAATGCAATATCGTGTCAGATTCAGACATCATCTGGAATCCCGCGAAGATCGGTGGTTCACCAGAGAAGAACTCGTGAGAACTGCACCTCAAGTTATTGCAGGCTACGAAAGAGATCTTCAAGGGGAAGATGCCTGCAGAATAGAAGACTTCTCAAGGGACTATCGAAGTATAGGAGGAGGGAATGCGAGGATCTGGGTCCTCGGCAGGCCTATGGGGCCCCTGTTGCATAAGTGCCCGCCCTAAGTGAAGGCGGGCCTAACAAATCTCAAGAGGCCCTCAGCTGTCATTTTCATATTTGGGGTCCAGACAGTTGTGACGCGCCAGTTGGTTGAGGAAAACACAGGCCGAACAGCAAGGACATTCCACGGCCTCCCGGGACTTTCTGAAAGAGCAGGCCCTGGGCAAGAATCGCAGCCTCATACACAGACAGTTGGGAGGCCCAACCGAATGAGGCCCAGTAGCTGCATCAGAGGCACAGCATCCTGGGGCCTACCACGCTTCTGGGCCGAAGCCCAGGCCAGCCAGGCTGCCGAACGAGGCAGGCTTTTTCCATATAGGAAAGAGCTCGCTGCCTGGCCAGGGCCATTCGTGCACTTGCTGGCTGGCGGCAGCGCTGCTGGAGCTCATGCTCGCGGGCTGGCTGCTAGCACTGGAGTAAGGTGCAGCGCACGTGCGGTCGTGTGTGGAAGCAGGGCGTTGCTGAGGGCA